TGTCGGAATTGTTAATGTTGCTAGTTGGTGTTATCATAGTTGAATGCTACCGTGCTCTGCTTGATGAAGTATTGTTACTGAGCCTTTTCCTGGAAACTGAATAGTTCTTATGCTCAATATCTGAGGTCATAAAGTAAACAAATATTCTATTTGACAGACATGGATTCTTTTTCATATATATAAGTGGATGCAGTTAGGCTAAATTTTAATTGAATAAATGCATCCTCTCTTTGCAGGATGATATTCGCAGGGAAGCTCAGACAATGAGCTTAATTGATCATCCTAATGTCATAAGAGCATTTTGTTCATTTGTTGTTGACCGCAATCTTTGGGTGATAATGCCATTTATGGCTGAGGGTTCTTGCCTACATCTTATGAAGATAGCATATCCAGAAGGATTCGAAGAATCTGCCATTGGTTCTATCTTGAAAGAAACTTTAAAGGCTTTGGAGTACCTTCATCAACATGGTCATATCCATCGTGACGTGAAGGTTAGACAATCTGCAATTCCTGACTCATACTGAACATGTTTCTAGATTTGACATACTCTTTGTGTCATCAACATTAAGTCAATTTAATTTATTTCTCATTTGTTTGATATCTTCTTCTTATAGGCAGGAAATATTTTAATGGATACTAACGGTGAGGTGAAGCTTGCTGATTTTGGTGTTTCAGCATGCTTATTTGATAGAGGTGATAGACAGCGTTCAAGAAATACCTTTGTCGGTACTCCATGCTGGTAATTCTGCCTTTTCCATCTCTGTCTCTGTGTTGTGTAGTGTCTGTATATTTGTAGTTCTCTGAGGATGTTCGTCTCTTCTTGGTGATACTAAATGCCATCATGTGTTTCATCTTGTCTTTCAGGATGGCACCCGAAGTATTGCAGCCTGGAACTGGATATGATTTCAAGTGGGTTATACTTCATAATCTCTAACTATATCGTGGTTTTATTATAAGAAGTATTTTATTCTCCAGAAGTGATGCATAGGCATCACAACTGTTTTTGTGCGGGCATGCATATATGAAATTAATGAACTTTCGTCTCTTCGGTTGAATTGGTCATTTTTCAGTTCTGATGTAATATAAGATGCATGTAACCGAACTATTTGCGAAGAAGTTTCTTTTTATTACAGAAGCTAACCTGCAAAAAAACTAATGAACCCTTTCATTCTCCGTTCTAGACATCTACACATGAAATATCAGACAGAATATCCTAGGACTAAGTGTATCCTTTTTCCGTGGTGTACACGAGTTATCAGGGATATTTGTCCATGAATTTCTTGTTGGATTGATGATGCCGTGTTGGCCCTTTGCCATTGTTCTATCATAATTGCTAGCAATAATAAGGGGTCATTGTGTTGGTTTATAATATTGAACTTCTTTTCAAATTCACAGGGCTGACATCTGGTCTTTTGGAATAACTGCATTGGAGTTGGCTCATGGGCACGCACCATTTTCAAAATATCCTCCAATGAAGGTAGTCGAAATTTACTTAATACCTTGGCTATGTTCTTGGATGCTACTTAATGCATCGTTAATAGTTGCACTTCACCTTTCAATAGGTTCTGCTGATGACCATACAAAATGCCCCGCCTGGACTTGATTATGACCGTGATAAGAGGTTCTCTAAGGTATTCATGATTTTTTGTGGTGCAGATGTTCACTAAACCCTTTACCTGCTTATAAATTAATTTCCAGTCTTTATTAAGCAATCATCCATTTTGAACAGTCTTTTAAAGAAATGGTTGCAATGTGCTTGGTAAAAGATCAAACGAAGAGACCTACTGCAGAAAAGTGCTAAAACA